AGAAACCCAGTTGTTAATCATTCTCTTTTAATTTAAGTAAACCTCGAGCAATATTGACCGTCGAAATATTAACCTTTGTTTTTGTTTAATCAAATAAGCTCATCTTTAGTTCGTAGAATATTTGCCCAAAGAGAAAATACGCTACATTTCTTCTTAAGATAGCAATAGCTAGCGGTCACGAAAAATGTTCTTCTCTATCTAGAAAGAATGTAAAATATTCCACGAATAAATTCTAAATTAAAAACCCAAAATTAAAAAAAATTAAATAAATAGAACAATAGAAACAAACGGATAGGCCCGCATCCGTTACAACGGAGTGCAGATTATGTCATAACGCCGTCGCAGGAAGAGGAAGCATCCAGCGATGACGGGCAGAGGAAATCTCAGTCACGCAAAACCAACGCGTATCCGTTAAAACCTTTTTAACGCCCGCTACGATCGAAAACGGTTACCCGCATATAAAAGACCCCCGCCCGCTTCACAAACTTAATTTGACGAGAATAATTAAGAAACAAATGGATCTGTGCGGTTCGCTGCTGTCGAGGAGATACTGAACCAGGTTCGATCGGACCGGTGAGGATTCGATGGTGGAGCCGCGAGGGAGATCGACGGATGACGAGGCCTCGTCGGTCGAAGAACCGCCGGGTCCTGTCCGGGCCGATCGCGCCGCTCGTTTCGATGCTGCGGTCTGGTACCCGCCAGGGCGCCGAAAGCCGCCATCCTCCGCCTCCTGAACCTCGCTGTCAAGGATGAGAGGTACGCGTCACGATGTTTAATTCCTGCGCGGGTCGTTTCTTTCTTGAATTCTTGCTGATTTTCTCGATTGGGTTGGGGCGGTTTTTCTTTTAATAAATAAATATTTTTCCATTTAATGAAATATTAGCTTATTATTATATATAATATATATATATTATATATATATAATATATATATATATATATATATATTTTTTTTTGGATTCGGATTTTGTACAATCAGTTGGTAATTGGAGGGAGTACAATTCCCTCAATTCTTGCCGCTTATATTAAATTCAATGGATGAGATCACCCCATGCACGTAAGGTTTTTACTGTTATAATAATCAAGTCTCCAAAACCATTTCTTGTGAAAACCAATATTTATAATAATCAAAATCTCACATGGCGCGGTCTCATCCGTTAAAAGTGATATAAATAATAAGGATGGAGAGAATTGGACCCTTTCCGATTACCACCTAATTGGGGAGGATCTCAATCCCATTTTTATTTTAATCAAGGATTGTTTGCGGGAAGGTATGATCTTGACAGCGATTAGCTTGTACAATCTCTGGTAGTAAATTAGTTAGTAGTAATTTTAGGTTTGGTTGGTTGATTTAGGTCTTTTTTTTTAATTTAGTTTTAAGCTAGCTTATGCGACCTTTTCCTTCTTCATCTTGCTTTTTAACATCATAATTGTTTGATCGAGGACGTGCGCAACGTGCTCAATTTTATGCAATTGACGAAAATTTTAACATCATAATTGTGGGGTACATGCCTTTTGTCGGTAATTTATGGATTGTTTGTTTATGTTTGAATCTCAGGAATGGTAATAAGTAGGATATAATAAGATCCTTTTGGATTAAAAGGATTTCAGCATGATTACAATGGAAACATTATGCAACAAAAAGGGAAGATGCTTCAATAAGCTCTGAACATAAATAGGAGCACATAAATTTTTTTGTAAGAGATGTATATGGATTGTGTTTGATGCTAGCATGCAACAATTGGATTATTGGGACTTCGGGAAAGTATTCGGGTCAGATTTGCTTTACACAAATTTTTTTTCGAAATCAATAGTGTCGAGATCTAACTAATTAATGTTATGTGGAGAGGGATCACATAAGCTCAGTTTCAGTAAGAAAACTAGCCACTCTCCTTCAATCTGGTCTCTAGTCTTTTTCCCAAATGTTGGTCATGTCCAATACCATTTTGCTAACTGAGATGTGCAGTTTGTGTCAAGATTTAAATGAGGTTAGGTTGCAGAGAAATGTTGGTGTACTGTTACATCACCTTGTTGCATAGATAACAATCAAAATTGGTTTCTGATGTTTGAAATCTATATACACTTCAACAACCATCTGAATGTGACAGATAGTTTTAAGCCTGGATTTTGATATTTTCATATGAGAAACTGGTTGTTTTGCACAGTTAGGACCAGTCCTTAATTTATCGCAGTAAGCAAATTCAGATGTTGGAAAGTGTTCTTACTCCAAATTTGAATTTACTTTAGATTGTTAACATGTGTGCTTCAAGGTATTCATGATGCTCTGTACCTTCCCTTTGTTTGTCTCTAGGCAGTAGCTCTTCTTGAGCTTCATTTTCAAT